TCATAACCCACTTGATTCTAATGTATGAAATATGATATGTCAAGAGCTTTKTAATGTTTTGAACAAACAATAAAAAAGAATGTAAATTAGCAACCAAAAAAAACATGAATATCAGAAAGCCCTTTATGAATATCTATAATGAATTAGAAGATACTTCATAGAAGATGACAGATTTGTGACCAATAAGCATGTGAAAAGCTGCTCACCATCACTAGTAATGATGAAAGTGCAGGCTAAAATGACAAATGTAATAATGCCATACACCTATTAGCAAGTCCTGGAGAAGATGCAGAGTGACTGGCACTACCACCCAGAGCAACCGGGAGTGTCACAAGCACTTCAGGAAACCACCAGTCAGTTTCTTAAAAAGTCAAGCAGACTTACAGTAAATTGGAGGGTGGTGGTGATGGGTTTTCCTAGCTTTTTATCCATGATAAATAAAAACTTATGTGCACACAAAGACTTGAAACAACATTTGCAAAAATTTTATTCATAATGGTCAAAAACTAAAAGCAATTTGTTATGGACTAAATTGTGTCCTGCCCTGCTCCCATGTTTGTATGTTGATGTCCTAACTACTAATATGACTGAATTTGAAGGTAAGACTTAAATGGCCAGGGATAGGGATATAGCTCAGTGGTATAGCACCTGCCTAGCATGAGTAAGATGAATGGATAAAGAAAATGTGGTATATGTACACAAGGGAATATTACTCAGCATTAATGAAGAATAAAATTATGGCATTTGCTAATAAATGGATGGAACTGGAGACTATCATGCTAAGTGAAATAAGCCAGTCCCAAAAAACCAAAGGCCAAAATGTTCTCTCTGATATGAGGATGCTAACCCATAACAAGAAAGGGTAGGGAGGGGAAGTATAGAAGTTCATTGGACTAGACAAAGGGGAATGAAGRGAAGGGAGGAAAGATGGAAATAAGAAAGATAGTGGAATGAACTAGACATAACTTTCCTATGCTCATATATGAATACTTGACCAGCATAACTCCATATCATGTACAACCACAGGAATGGGATCCAAATTGGAATGGGTTGCATTCCACGTAGGTATAATATGTAAAAATACACTTGTCATGTATATCTAAAATCAACAAATTTTTTWAAAAAGGAAAAAAATGATTARGCATATACCCAATGGAAATTCCTACATATGTTCACCATATGAAAGAATATTTTCAACAACATTTTGTGCAAACTGGAAACAATTCAAATATGTTCAAACAATTCAAATAATTAAAGAATAAATAAAAAGAAAAAAAAAAGGATGAACTAGCTGGGCATGGTAGTGGACACCTGAAATTCTAGCTATGTGGGAGGCTGAGGCAAGAGGATCCCAAGTTCAAGGCCAGCCTGGGCAACTTAGCAAGACCACATCTCAAAACAAAAACACAAAAAAAGGAATGAACTAACATACAACAATATGAATAAAGTTCAAAAACATGCTGAATGAAAGACGCCAAAACACAAATAAATGTATACTACCTGATTCTGTTTATGAAAAATTCTAGAAAATCGGCAGATCTTATCTATGGTGATAGAAAGCAAATCAGCAGTTGCTTGGAGATTTGGATGGATGACTGCAAAGAGGTTTGAGAAATGTTAGGGAGATGATGAAAATGTTCCATATCTTCTGTAATGGTAATTATAGAAGTATAAAATTTGTCAAAACTCATTAAATTGTATACTAAGATGAGTGTTTGTACTTTATGTAAACTATACTTCAATAGCTGATTTAAAAATTAAATTTACCAACAGTTCATTACAAAGTAAACACATGAGATAGTGAGATGTTGCACTGCTATATGAAAGCACACTTTGAAACAAAAGTGTTATTTGAGCAAGTTATTACACAATGATAAAATATTTTCAGCAGAAGAATATAGAAATAATGAACTGATATGAAACTAATAGCAGTCTCAAAAATAAAGCAAAAATGAGAAAATCATTCAGAGGAAAATAAACAAATTCACAATTACAGAGGAAGATCTTAACATATCTCTTCCAGAAATTTGAAGATGGGTTGGAGATATAGTTCAGCAGCAGAGCACTTGTGTTGCACAAACCAGGCCCTGGGGGTTTGATCAGCAGCATGTACGCATACATGTACTCTCTTTCTCTCTCTCTCTCTCTCTCTCTCTCTCTCTCTCTCTCTCTCTCWCACACACACACACACACACACACAGATACATACACAAACCAGAAGTCAGAAGATAAAAATGCAAATTTAATAAATATAAGACTTACTGACACTACTAAGCTTAATCTAATATATAAGTATATGCGTACACACACACACACACATATTACATATAACACATAACAATAAGTGAGCACACAAGCTTCAAGCTCACACAGAATATTATCAAATACTAAGTGCATACCCTGCTACCAGCAAGTCTTAACAGGTACAAAAGAACTGGCATCACATAYGCAATTTTATCCAATCACGATGTCAAAAATATTAGACAATAAAATATAAGATGCAACAAATAATATTAGATGCAAAAAAAGAAAAAAGAAAAATAACCCCTAGTCCCCTGTACATTGGAAATTAAAAAAAAAAAACTTTAGGGGCTGGGGTTGTGGCTCATCGGTAGAGTGCTTGCCTAGCACGTGTGAGGCCTTGGGTTTGATCCTCAGCACCACATAAAAATAAATAAATAAAATAAAGGTATTCTGTACAACTAAAAAAAATAAATATAAAAAAAACTTTAGCAATAGCAAAGTCATAAAGGAAGCAGGCTATATTTAAAACAATGGCAATGATAGCATGACCTCAACACTTGTGGGCTATAGCCAAAGAAAAAGGGAAAAATACAGTCTTAGAAGAAAGATACAAAATCATGGAATGTGATACAATTATTTTAAAATTCATCTGAAACAGTTTAATAAGAGCCAAGTAAGGTCAAAATAATTTAGGGGAATATTAATCATCCCAGATATCAAGATTAACATAAACCAGGCATAGTGGCACACAACTTAATCCCAGCAACTCAGGAGGCTGAGGAAGGAGGATCACAAATTCAAGGCCAGCCTCAGCAACTTAACAAGACTCTGACAAAATAAAAAATAAAAGGACTGGGATATAACTCAGTAGTAAAGTGCCCCTGGGTTCAATCCTGAGAACCACAAAAAAAAAGAAAGGATGGCTAAGTAGACAACTGGAGTTGAATGTTATTTTCCTGACAAAGTACACTTATATTTCACTGAAGAAAGGATGATGGATATTAATCCACAAAAATAAGATTTCGCTATTTCAAACACAAAATCAATCTTAAGTCATTAAAGACATATTGGTGAAGAGCAAAATTCTACATAAAACTTTCAGAAGAACCAAAATAAAAGTATTTTTTAGTTGATCTATAATCTTTGTACTTATTTATGGGGTATAGTACTAGAACTTGATATGTGTATGCAATGTGTAATGATCAAACTGAGGTGAAAATTAGCATTTCTACCTCCTCAGATATCATAATTTTTCTAATTATTCAGAATGTATAATATATCATTGATTACTAGAGTTACCCTACTAGGCTAAGGAATATCGGAACTACCTCCCTTTCCCTAACTGTACTTTGGTGACAATTTTCCACCCACCCATTATCCTCCCTTCCCCCACTCTTTCTATCCTCTAGAAAAGAATATTTAAATAAAAATATAGGGAAGTATCTTTCTGGCCTTGGGATAGTAAAGAATTTCTTAAGGAAGAGATAAAAGCATAAACCACATAGGACAAGATTAATAATAATTTTGAGTGCATCTGAGTTTAACATGGATTTATATTGCAAGAAAAGGAAAAAGACAAGCCATTGATAAGAATAAGGTAATGATCATATCTTTAAAAGTATTATTATTAAGAATATATAGAGAATTTCTATAAATTAATATGAAAAAGATAAATAACTCAAAAGAAAAATGGGCAAAATTTAAAAAGAATCCAAGAGAAAATTCATCCAAGAAACATGAAAAGACCTTCAATTTTACCTGTAATCAAGGAAACACAAAAGTATGAAAAAACTTTAAATCTGACAATATCAAGTACTGATTAGTATTTGAGCAAATGATAACCCACGATTTTTGGTGGGAAAGCAAAACCTTAGGAATTTTCAAATAACAGAGTTGAAATCACAATTATCTTGGATCTAGTTATTTACATGAGCCTAGAGAGACATACAGCTGAGAGAAATGTAAAAGGTGGTTTACTGCAAGGTATCTTATTAGAGAAAAAATTAAATTTCCTTCAACATGGGAATGATTTAAACAGTAAAATATTAAAAACACTACATGTACCAAAACAGATAAACTTCAAAATTAAAATGTTAATCAAAAAAGGAAAGTTGATCCAAAAAGGCAAGATGGGGTTGCTGGGGTTGTGGCTCATGCTAGGTAGTGTGCTTGCCTAGCATGCATGACTCACTGGGTTCGATTCTCAGCACCATGCACCATATACAAATAAATAAAAATAAAGGTCCATCAACAACTAAAAATATATTTTTTAAAAAAGGAAAAATGGTTATATATAGTATGATAATATTTGAAAAAAATTTAACAACACAAACAACATCATTGGTAAGCAACACATCAACACGAAAGACATACACACCAACAATCAAGGAAGGAGGAAGGAAAAGGGTGAGAACTGGTATCTGTAATGTGCATTTTTAAGCAAGAGATATGAAGCAAAGGCAAATATTAGCATTCTTACATCTGGAGGGTAGGGATGTTTTTGTCTGTTTCATGACCTTTTTTGTACATTTTTTATGTTTGAAATATTTCTCAATTAAAAAAAGCTAAAGATAATTGTTGTAAGGTAGATAATAGAGGAGAATCAGAATAAGTGTAAGGCAAATGGTCAGCAGGCCACAATTCACAGTATTTAAACAATTTAACTTCTTGTTAACACATTTAATTTGTGGAAAGTAAAACAAAACTCCTTTAAATATTATGCAGAATGTATTATAAGTATATTTTYCCAAACTTACTTGCTCAACTTCTCTGTTGAGAGCATCTACTTTTTCTTTTAATCTGTTACTCTCTGCTTCTGCAGTGATAAGTTCCAATTTGAGGGTATTGTTATCTGCCTCAGCTTGCCGGGCTTTATTTTCCCAGTTTTCAGCATCTTCATTGGCTTTTCGGAGTTGATCCATTATTTGCCGGTTTTCAGATTCCTGAAAAACAAATCTTAGGTATTACTTTAAAGCTCAACATATGATACATATTAAAMATTATTTTCCAGGTCACTAGGAATCCACTTGCTACAAAGGAGCATTTCTAACATAACCTTGAGAAAAAACCTACCTGTACTCTTAGTTTAGAAAACTGGTCATCCAGTAGTTAACAAAAGGAAGTGTGATGAGGATCTGTACTGGCTCAGTTATTCCACTAGTAAATTTAAGTAAAGCTACTTACCTTATCTTCAGGACCTGAGAAAGGGCTCTTATATTTCCTTTTGTTCAAATGAAATTCTCATGGTCTCCTTTTCCATACACATGTTTACTGACCACTTGCTGGTCAGGTTTCTGAGCTTCTTGATTTTTGTTTCTGTGTATTCCTTCTTCATGACGACTTTACTGGGTTGTACACAGCTTCTGAATTCTTATATATCTTAAGTGTGGACTTCTGTAATTCTCTTGGTTTAGAACATTTCCTGTCTGACTCCTGCCTTTCATTCATAACCCCAGTCTTAACTTTCTTGATCATGGACTATAATTCACCTTTGCCTGCTATTCTAGTAATTTGCCCTTAATTGCTCAAAAGTAAAATATCAAAGCTTTGCCAAGGAACATTATTCATAAATATGCTTCCACATATAAATTGAACATATACTATARAACCATTTCTTTTAAAATCTTCAAAATTCTATCATGAGTGGATTAACTGAAGTAGGACCTTTTTCCCAGAGGAAAAAATTCAGCTCCACAAATAATACAATATTCTGAAAAATCATAATTAGGCTATTTTAAAAAACAAATCTTGGGCTGTGGTTGTAGCTCAGCGGTAGAGCTCTTGCTTAGCACTTGCGGGGCCCTGGGTTGGATCCTTAGCACAACATAAAAATAAATAAATAAAATAAAGGTATTGTGTCCAACTACAACTAAAAAAATAAATCTTTTAAAAAAATACATTCTAAAAAAATCTTACTATTACGGTTTGGCTAACCCATTCTAAAAAAATCAGTTATAATTCAGTAATTAATAAAAAGTTCCTAAATATCTTTCTCTCCTGTTAATAAATACCATATTTTTCTATAAAAAAAAATCCTGGGCTAAATAAAATAACCAAATTGCAATAAGTAATAGTTTTTAAGTTTTTTTTCCATCTACACTATCCAATCTTTTATTCAGCAAGTATTCACTGAATATTTATTTTGTGTCATACATTGGATGCTGAAATAAGTAGTCATCCTTTCCATAAGGAAACTTTTAGTAAATTCCAAATCAAATCATCATCAACCAGCTATTTCCCGTTCTCTCACATAAAATACACCGTAATCTCTCCCATCTCTTAAAAACAAATCTCCATTGTCAGCCTTGTCTCTTTATCCTTACTTTATAAGCTTTTCATATCAGATTTATGTTCTCATTATTAAGTTTGCTTGATTGTAAGAAACGTGTTGAAATTCAGTTAATATTGCCATCTTGTGGCCTCACATGAAAGATCTTTGCCAAGTCTGTTMAAATAGTTCTGTACAGCAAACTACTTCATAGGCTTTCAAGATTCAGATATTCTGCTAGGTGTGATGTTGCATGCTTGTAATCTCAGCTACTCAGGAGGCTGAGGCAGGAGGATTCAAGTTCAAGACCAGCCTAGGAAACTTAGTGAGACCCTGCCTCAAAATAAAAATTTAAAAGAGCCGGCAGTATAGCCCAGTGGTAAAGTACCCCTGGGTTCAATCCCCAGTATCAAAAAGAAAAAAGATTCAGATATTCCAAATGTGTCAGTAGGAACCTGTTGTATGTTTTCCATGATCATACTAAAGATGATAGCTGAGTAAGGAATATGTGCTTTGGAAGAACCTGGTACAATAAAACATACATAAACTGAGTTTACCCACATCAACCTTTTCCCTCTTTAACTTTGTGTGTACTTAATTGTCTAAGTCATTCTCTTAACAATGCCACGTAATTTCAYGTAGTTAGATGGGGCTGTGCTGTCGCTACAAAAATATCTAGTATTTCTCAAAGACAGGAACCATTTTTTAATATTAAACTCAGTTTTATGACCAGGTAATATGCAAAAAAGGAGTCTGTACAATGTTTCTTCTGCCTTCCAACCACCCTCACAAAAGCTGTGTGGGGCCTAAGATAAGCAATTTTATAGAAGAAGCAAAACTGCTCTTCRGAACTCTCCATTCCCCCTTTCTAAGGTGCCTTTCCCATCCAGTACCCAAGGCAAGCTCTGGCCATCCACAGGGCTCCTTGCAACATTCTACCTGCCTCAGCTGATATTTTTTGTAGTTGCTGGATTATACTAAAGATAATAGCTGAGTATGGAGTATGTGCTTTGGAAAAACCTGGTACATGTACCTCGTCAAACAGTTGCTAACATGAGAGAAATGCAAAGGGCAGTTAGTTTTCTGACCTCTGGTCCTAAGAAACAAATGACTCCATCACAAGATGATCCATTCTGTTCTGCTACATAATCAGGTAGAGCCACTTCCGTCAGAGGCTTGTAACAGAAACCTCTACTGTTTTCAAATAGAAGTGAGGCCAAGTTAATTCTGGCCTTTTGTCCTTCATCCAGTTAGGAAGATTCTGTTTAGTCTAGAATGTTTTTTACTTAGCAAACTAAAAGGCATATATTCTGGAGCCACCTTTCTGGACATTGGCAACTTTTAAAATCTATAATTAACTCACCATTGTCAAAACTAAAATAAGCTATGTGATAAAGAGTTCATTCACCTGTTCTGATACAACTGATTACTAAGTTCACTCTTGTGAAAACTCTTAAAAATCATGAGCAAAGGAAAAAAATCTATACATACTTCAGACTTCAATATATTCTTTAGCTTGTTAACCTCCAAATTAGTATCTTGGACCTTCTGTTTTATGTCATTAAGTTCATTATGTGTATCATTCAATTTTTTGGACAGTGCCTATGGAAAAAAGATATCGAGATTTGAATACAACAAATAAAAATTCCTACATGTAAAAAACATCAAAAATGAAAATTTAAAAGTTTGCAACAAGTAGGTATATAAAAAGTTAATATACTTAATGTGTAAAACTCATATAAAAACCAAAGAAACACAAAAGCCCAGGAGCATATGGGCAAAGGATATAAATAGACAATTCACAAACAGAAAGCACAAGTAGATAATGTTTAACAAAATTAAACTTTACTAATARTCAAAGATTTTCTAATTTAAAAAGTAGTATTTTGCCTACCTAGTTAGTAAAAGTTTGAAATTTCAATTACGAACCGTACTACTTATTCCAAACATAAATTTGCATATGTAATCATATGAATCACTATATGATGATATCAAGAGACATTTGAGGGCTGGGGATGTGGCTCAGCAGTAGCGTGCTCGCCTGGCATGCGTGCGGCCCGGGTTCGATCCTCAGCACCACATACAAACAGAGATGTTGTGTCTGCCAATAACTAAAAAATAAATATTAAAAAATTCTCTCTCTCTCTCTCTTAAAAAAAAAGAGACATTTGAAAATGCTCATAAAAAGAAGTCTCATAAGATTTGATTCAATTTGATAAAATCTAATAAAATTTCATATTTATTCACATTTGGTGAATGTTGCTATAAATAGTAGTATATCTGCACAGTGGTATAATAACACAGTAGAATATTATGCATCTATGAGAAATGTCTGGAGTAATTTTAATAATAGAGGAAGATGTTATGTATATTAAGTGGAAAAAATCAGGTTACATCCTGACTTATTAAAAAAATATCAAATGATAAAATGTGTTAAGGTCTCAATTTTCCAAATGTTCTACGATATTGGTTCTTAACCTGCAGTCCATAGACGGATCCCTATTCTACCCAAACAAAGAAAAAAAATGTACTCTGGAACATATGTAAATTATTACCAATTTTCTCCTAATGATAAAAATGCTTATAAAGTTTTAACAAGACAGGGAAATGCTTCTATTACAGTAAGCTAATAATAGCTACAATTTATTGAGTAATATGCTGGACACTATGGTAAGTACTTTCCAGGTATATTCTCACTTAATATCCATCTTTAAGGATTATGAAATTAGATATAGAAAAGTTAAACTATATGACTGTACAACCTGGCAGTGAGATTCAACCCCAAGTGAGACCTAAAATACTTGGCTCTAGTGCTCCTCACATAGGTTTTTTTTTTTTTTTTAAAAAGGATGACACAAAGTGGTGTGGTTTTAAATCCCAGCTACATTTAATATATATATATATATATATATATATATATATATATATATATATGTATGTATATGAATAATATAAAAATGTTTAATTTTGAACTAATTTTCACTAAAAGCCAGTAAAAAAATATGTCAAATGTTTATAGTGACTAACCATGGGTAGTAAAGATAGGAGTTTTTAAAAACCTTTTTATAAGAAAAAAAGAATTTTCTAATGAGTTTCTATTTCTTATTAAAAATATATATAACTAAATTTCTAGTTTCTCATAAATAAAAATTATGTCCATCTTTAGCTTTAGCTTACTTGCTCTAGTATACACAGAGTACACAAAGGTAGACCTTATAGATTCACATCTTTTGGGTTGTACTGCTATTTATTCATTTATAAAAATAATCTTTATTTTTCCAAGTTTTAGATTTACAGAAATATTATGAAATATTTTATACAGCCCCATATACCTAAACACCCATGTTCTTCTATTATTAGCATTTTACACTAGTACTTTTGTTACAGTTAATGAGCCGATATTGATAATATTAACTGAAGTCCATATTTTATGCAAATTTCCTTCATTTTTACATAATATCCTTTTTTTGTTCTAGGATCTCATTATTCATTAACTTTCAAATAATGTCTCAGATAATTTCTTACAATTGACAAAGTGTTGCATCTTTATTGCTATTTATATAAATTATAACTATTTGGTAGCTAAAGAATACAAGTGCTTCTGAAGCAAACTAAATACACTGACAGTGGTAACAGGGAATTTTGAGGGGGAAAGAAACTTTCCAAATAATGGAAACTTTAATGTTCAAGTTAAAATAATACTAATGGAAATAAGAACTGTGGGTTGAACTGAATTATAAAAGAAAAGACTAATTATAAAAGGAATTTTCCTAAAGACTTACAGTGCTAAGGAGGACCAAAACATGTGGTATAGTCCATGGTCTCACATTTAAACAGAGTAATATGCAGTGCATTAAGTAAATCTTTTTCTTTAAAGTTTCTGATGGCTTTTATTCGCATTTKTTGGTTTACTCAAATATATATTCTTCATTAAGGAAGTACTTTCTAAGGTTTAATACAAATCTATTATGTCCCTATTCCTTTTGTTTAATATTTAACACTTCATGTCTGAGAATTTCATTTAAAAATTACATGGCATATTCTGTTTATAAATTTTTTAAAAATGCTACTTCCAATAGCTGAGCTTTTCTGCAAAATGAAACAAGGGATGTGCCTCAGAAGAAATAAATATATGTGTATTTTTTCCTTAGGGGAAAAGATTCTAGGAACAAATATACCTGGTTTTCTTGTTTGGCTTTGTTAAATTGTTCTTGGAGATTGTCACTCTCATGAGCCAAGATATCTCTTTCCCTAGCAATTTGAGCCAGCTCGTCATTTGTTTCATCCAATTGCCGACGCATTCTGGAAATATCTTGTTCACACATAATTAGGGCTTCGGTAGACTGTCTATTCCACAAATCAAACAGCATGTAAGAAGAGACATTTTACTGAAATGGACTGATACATTCTCACAAGACAGATGATGGACAGTTAGCATGAAAACATTTGAAGAGGTTTTAAATGTTTAAATTTACAAGAATACTGCAAAAAAAAAAGTTCATTAGAGTTTAACTATGTTGTTGTCATCATTTCACTATGGAAAAGGTACTAAATATACATAATAGTTAATGATCTGTTAAATATTTGAAAACTTGTGACACTCAAGAATAGGAAAGCCTTCACTCTTTCTCTGTTATGGCTTAGCCTCCTTGGTGAATTATTTCCTCTGCCCTCTTAAAAATTAATGTTTTTCAGGTCTCAAATCTTAGCATCCTGATTCTTCTCACTCTAGTCCTTCTCTCCAAGAAATCCCATTTAAATTTTCCCAACCACATCTGTACTCCAGAACAAGCCCCCTGTTCACACTGTTCCCTAAACCCTATGGCCCAGTTTCCCATCACCTATTCTTCTTGCTTAAAATTCTTCAATGGTTTCTTATTGCCCAAAGAATAAAATTAAGAATCAATTGTCTTCAACACAGGTCTTTTCCAGTCTGTTCTCCTTCCTTTCACTTCTCCTCTTATACTTCGAATTACAACAATGCCCAYCTACTTGTAATTCAAGAGGCTTTACAACATGACTTGTGGCTTTTTGCTTTCTTTCCTATCTGAATGCCTTTCCCCTTATTTTACTTGGTAAACATCATCCCTTCTTTTACTTCCTCAGACAGAGTTAGGCCTCTTTCCAACATTTAGGAGTTATCACCTTATGCTTAACATTGTCTTTGTACACTAAGTGTTCACATTTTTGGTGAATGATTTACCTTGACGCCTGTTCCATCTCAGCAATGATATTCTTCATGCCTGAAATGGTCTTTTCCTTGAAAGATAATATAAATATCAAATTAAAATTATCTTAAATTGTTATTTCTATCAAAACTGAAAATCTTCCCTTTTGATTTCTATTTGGTTTTGAATATTTATGTTCTACTCTCTTGTACACTTTAAAGCCTAGTATATCAGTGTGAATAACTTCACTAAGCAAAACWGATTATGTTCATTGAAGTAAAAGCTACACTTTAGTATATTAATAGGAGCTCATATATCAAGTACTTTTAAGATTTGTGCAATCACCTAACAAGACAAGACACCCATAAACGCCCTGTTTTTAGAGGCAAACCAATGATGTCACATTGGTTTGTTTTATAATGAATGGGACTGATTGACCTCTTTACATTCTTTGTTATAAAAGCCACAGGCATGAATCRTGTATAACTAAATTTAGTTCTTCATAACTTTGACCAAGTACATTGTTTCCATTACTCAGCAATATCATCTAACAAAACTACTACAATGAAATTACTGACAAAAGTACATTTTTAATATGTAGGTGTGAGATCATAAGGGGGCCCAAACCAAAGATATAACAAAATGCACCATTTACATTCTCCCCTTTTCTTAAAGGTGTGGTGAAGGAATAGAATTGTGGAGTCAGTTAAGGCTAAAAAGGGTTATAACATCTTAATGCCTTTAGTACCATTCCCATGTCTCCTTTTACAACTCTCATTGATCCTGAGATAATCTAACTATAAACAGACACTTACAGCTAATATTAGCCTTAAAGAAAAGTAGGAAAATTATTCTTTCAATAATAATGCCTAGCACGTTGCTTTGGATTTTTAAATCCTTAGCAACCAAGAAAAAAGATGAGAAAGCAAACCTATATCTCCCAACCACTTCTGGTCTTGTCTCTAAAGAGTAAGTTTCTTGTGTGTGCACTATCTTCTTTTATTCATGTGCCCCTTGCCAGGGTATTTTTAGCTTCAGTTTCCCTTCCTGCCTTCTAATAGAATGGTGAAGAGTCTATATCTGGCAGAAATGAAGTATGGAGTATGGTCAAAATACCCATTAACAAAAACAATTAAATCCCTTTAAGAAGAAAAAAACACAAGAGGGAAATAAATCAAACAAAATATTGTTTACATGGCATGGARTATTTATATTTTTTAAAATAAAATTTAATACATTTAAAAATATATACTRAAAATCTAATTGAACTTCTAGTGCTTTTGAAAGTCATTACTTCATGATCCTCCTTCTTCAGCCTCCTGAGCAGCTGGGATTTGGGGAAAAAATAAAATAAAATCTTTAAGTTTGAAATATACTGACAAGCCTAAAAGGGAATTTCCTTTATCACTAAATGTTCACCTTAAAAGTAAGATGATCCAGGAACACTATAAAGTATTCAGGATAACAGAATTACTGAATAGAATTTTAAAAATGCATCCTCTTACTCTGTGGTTTTCTCTTAGTGATTTTAATACCCTAATACCACCATTCCTCAAAACTACCAACATTAGCAATCTACTATTCCTTGAACAACCTCAATGTATTCCTTGAACATCCAACCAGGAAGAAAGATTCTTATTAACTGTTAAAATTATGTCTGGACAGAATGCCATTAAGTATAATTAGAAAAAAGAAAAACTAAAACTTCATATAAATATTCTGGCTTTTATTACTCAAAAATCTGAAGTTGCTATTGAGTTCTCTAACATTAGTTGGTAGTAAGTACTAGAAAATCTCTTAAAACTATGATTACCCAAAATTTTTCACTGTATTCACTATAAGGTAGACTTTTCCAAATTAACTTATTTCTGTAATCTCCATATAAGACTATAGAACAGTTCTATTTCACTAGAACAGTCCTATTTCACTGAATGACATTTATTAGTTCAGTTCTGAAATGTCATTATGTGGAACATTCTCATTTAACTCTCTAACACTGTCTTTAAAAATTATTTTCCATTTAGAGGATGAATATGCTTACTTTTATAAAATTTTATATAAAGTTCTTAATTTTGAAATGGAYTTGCCACTCAGAATTCCTTGTGAAGTAAAGATAACATCAGTACAGTCAGAAAAATAAAAGATTAGATATGACTTAGAGAAATAAGATTCTGAAAAATGTTAGTTTCTGAACGTTAGTGTTTTAAAAAGTCATGTTTAACTATTCAAAAAAATGTTTTGAATATAAGGAGAAGCAAAATTCCACTTAAAATCATAAAAATTCAAAAATAATGATYAAGACTTCCCATCAAATAAACCTGTATTTACTAGCTCATGTGTTGAAGACTTCATTTACACTCATGATCCCCAATCTATTAACATCAATTTTCTCTCCAAGCCTAAAAATCCAAGAGCCTATGCATATTTCATCTACATTTCTCAAAGACAATTTAAACTCAGCATGTGAATAATCTTCCTCACCTACATCTGCCCTGTTTTCTGTGTTTCCTACTTAATTTATAGGAACTATTCATGGCAGAAACCACATCTTATTAATTTTACTTCCTCCATAGATCTAATTCTCACTGATACTGCAACTATCCTCATACAGGTCTCACCCCTGTTCTTTTAACTAGTGTCCCTGTCACTACTCTCATTTTCTCATAATATATCTTTTTATGGATTTATATTGCMAGAATAATGCTCTAAAATAAAGATGCAAGCTGGCATGGTGGCACATGCCTATAATCCCAGAGACTCAGGAGGCAGAGGCAGGAGGGTTGAAATTTTGAGGCCAGTCTCAGCAACTTAGTGAGGTCCTGTCTCAATATTTAAAAAAATTAAAAGGTTAGGGATGCAGCTTAGTGGTAGAGTGCCCCTGGGTTCAATAACCAGTACTGGAAGCAACAACAATATTAAAGAATGAAAGTCTAACATTTCATATACCTGCTCAGCATCACATGTATTTTTGAGATTAGTTGTTTTTCTATTCTATCTCATCTTTTGCCCTTCCATACCCATCCATACCTATCTCTGACCATATCAGGAAGTCTCATGTCACTCTCTCTTGAAAGCCACTGAGCTTTGAAGTAAGCTACTCTACCTGTCTATATCACTATCCTAGTCCCCTAAATATTTTTCTGGCTAATTTCTAGTTATTTTTCAGAGAAGCCCAGGCACTGTTACTTCCTGGAAGACTTCMTAGATCTTCCTCCTCCCCTAACCCAATTCTCAGGCTGTCTAAGATGTACTTCTGTCAAACTCCAATAAAACATTTTTCTTGTGTCATTATGGCATTTAACAAAGTCAATCATAATAATATATTTATCTCTCTGTGTATTAGGCTCCACTATAGGCTCATTAACCCTCAGTTTTAACATAATATCAGGTACATGTCAATAAATGTTTGAAGAATGGGTAGAGGGATAGATGAATTTTCATGAATCCATTTCCTTGGAATGTGGGAAGACCTTATTCTACTGATGCTGTTATTGCTTAAGACATGTGGAAAACAGATTAGGAACTGGCTTCACAATTTATGAGCTAAAACCAATAGCTGCCTTCAAGCATGACCTTTTTTGTTTAACAACAAGAGCAAAATATATGCAATATTCACCATTAAAAGAGAATAAAATCATGGCACTTGCAGGTAAATGGATGGAGTTGGAGAATATAATGCTAAGTTAGCCAATCCCAAAAAAACAAATACTGAATGTTTTCTCTGATTTAAGGCTGCTGATTCATAATGTGATTGGTGGGGTGGGGGCAAGGGAGGTTAGATGAACTCTAGATAGGRCAAAGGGGAGAGGGGAAGGGAAGGAACACGGGGTTAGGAAAGACGGTGGAATGAGATGGACATCGTTACCCTAAGTACATGTATGAAGACATGAATGTCATGACTCTACTTTTTATACAACCAGAGATATGAAAAATTGTGCTCTATATGAGTAATATGAATTGTAATGTATTCTGCTTTCATATATAACAAATTAAAATAAAATTTTAAAAAACATATGGGATGAATTATCATCCAGCTTTATGCACCAGCACCATATGATCTATTCTCAAAGGCTGAGGATGATATAAAAAGGTACTCCTAGTTCATACCACAAGGGCAGTTTAATGGAGCAAACATACTGCCTCCTAGACTACCTGAAAATGGTTTTAAGAAGAAATCAGATTCACTACCTTATTTTGATATTTGAGTTAGTTATTGTCAGTGAACAATAGTCACTAATTCATAATAGAAAAATCAATTTAAAATGTTACCTAGTAAATTTGCTCATGTATTTCCTAAGACTATCTTAAAATATTTCAAAGTCAGATTTTAAATTTTAGCTCTCTAGAAAAAAACTTTGAGGAAAATCCTATTACTTTATTCAGATTTAAGCAAACTACAGTTTAATATTTAAATATTTCATTTAAACATTCCTTGTCCACCCAGTTCTCAGAACATACTTTCATGGCCAAACTCTCTCCAAGGGATGCAATATTCTCAGATTTTTTATCCAAACATGCTTGCAGGCATTCCTTTTCTTTAGCCAGATCATTGAGGGTTGCACCAAGAATGCTGATTTCTTCTCGCTGTGCAATACTCTGCCTTGTAAAATTATCTAAATATGTAATCATAAAGGTGTTGGTTTAATCAAGACAAATCTTTTTCCAGTTCAAACAGATTGAAATACTTTTCAAAGTTCCTCTATATTGTATTCCATGATTAAAAATAAGAGTACAATATTCCAAATTAAAATGTTTCTTTTTATTAGTGATTATAAAATACAATCCATCAAGAAATTCTAAATGGCTCATAAACATAAAAACATAATACCTTTGAATTAGAATAGTGAAGGAAAGCTGGGTGGTGGGAAAGAAGAGGGTGGATGAATGCAATAGGTGTAATATCAAAATAACCTGTAGTTTCTGCCACCCTTAATGTCACCTCCTTTCCCTCCACAGACTAGAATGACTGTTGCATATAAAATTGGTAGGTAATAAGTATTAATAAACTATTCAACTAAGTCATTATTAGAGTCAAATATCTTGCAATATTCTTATTTTTTATGATTTTTCTAATATTCCAAGGGAACATATCATCCAAGAAAGTATAATTCTATTTGTGAGAACTGGCGGGGCAATGGCAATGTTGACTGGCTAAAGGATTGCTATAGAACAAAGACTTTGAAACTGGTTTTTCAACCAGTACCATCAGCATCATCTGTGAAGTGAAAACTCTCACGTCCCCACCCAAGACCTACTGAATCAGAAATCCTGGGAGTAGGCACAGCAAATTATGTTTTAACAAGCATACTTCTCCCCATGTCCCACAGTGATTCTAATRCACAATAAAAGGGCTGAGAACCACTGGTCTAGAGAAGAGGTCCTAGGGTTTCAGAATTGCCTAGGGAAATTGGTTAAGATACAAGAGTTCTGGTCCTTACTACTTTAGGGAGTCTGGCTCTAGTGATCTTTATCTACTGGGTGATTAGGACATACACCAAAATTTGAAAACCACAGGTCTAGAGCTCTACAAGAAGATCTCTGCTAGACCAGACCTCTAGATACTGCCCGTCAAGTTAAACCCTACCAAGGTTCATTTGGGTTCAGTGTCAAGGGAGGTACTGTCATATGTCACATAGTATTTGAAAATGCATCATGTCTTTTTTTGCAGGCAGTGCTTCCTTTAAGGCAACCCACATGTTTTGGGTGTTCCGATATCTGAGTTCATTACCACTTCCAATCTATCAATCAATTTCTTAAAAAGCTCTTATATCTGTTAGCTTAAAAAAATCCTCAACTTCATATCCACACAATCTACCACCTTATTTTTCTGCTATCTTTCAATAGTCAAACTTCTTGAGAGACTTTTCTAATCTTTTCCATCTGTACTTCACTTCCCATTTCTAAACCCACACGCGAGACTATTTAAACTTTAAAACTCCAATGTGACAAATCCTATAAACACATTTTTATCCTCATCTTGTTTCATTACTTAAAAGTACCTGACAAGTGATCATACCCTCCCTTTTAAAAATCCTTGGTTCTCTTGCGTTTCAAAATAACACTCACTTCTGGGTTTTCTTCCTACTTCTTTGGCTTCTTCTTATTCTGTCCTGGATCATCATCTCCTCTTTCTCTATATTCTTCCTATGTGATCTTATGGTTTTAAAATATAATTTATAGGTTGACGTATCCCAAATATATATTGTTAGCTTAGATTTGTCTTCTGAGATACAAACTCATATATCCAACTTCTTACTTTACATCTTTACTTGGACTCAAAACATCAAAAAATGAGTTCTCCTTCAGCATTCCCTTTTATATTCCTCTTTTAATATTTCTTGTTTCAATTAACAGAAATTCTACCTAATTGTTCATGCCAGACATTTATTCAACTACATAATAGCAAATGTTAATTTTTTTTCCTCAGCTTAAAAATAGGCTCTTTTAAAGCCCTGAAAAAAATCTGCTGTATATTTCTAAGAAGATTTAAGTTATGACCATACTTTTGTACAGATCACTGGTAAAAAAAACACATAGATTTTATAAATGTCATTTTCATTATAAACCCAAGTGATATCTTAGACATAGCCAAACATATGTATACTTTCCACCAAAAGTTTTATGTCTATAGATATGTATATATTTATATACACACATGCRTACACTATTTCATTACAACAGCTATGAGCAAGCTGCATCATATTGAAACTGTAAATTTAAAATTTAACATCATAAATTTTAAGAATGTAACTATTTTGTCTAGCTATTTCTTCACTGACAATTTTAAGTCATAACTAAATATGATCCTAAATCTAAGTAAAAATAATCTTACTATCAAATAAAAATGAATTTTCATTATTTTTGATTCATAAACTTTTAGATTAAGGATCCATTTCCAAGTTTATCTAKTTTATAACTAGACAGAACACATTTTTCTATGAGACTTAAGAAAAAACTACAAGTAACGAAAAAAAAACTCACCAATTTTTTCATCCAAGCACATAATTTTCTCCTGAGTAAGCTGTAGTTCATATTTTTTCTTAGCAAGATGTCGCTGAGTATCAGAAAGATCTTTTTCTGTGTTTTCATATAAAAGTCTGCAAATATTTTAATAATAAAACTAATTCTGAAATTTTTAAGTTTTGTCAACTTTTAGTGTATTTAAATATAAAAAAATTAAGAATGCCTTTTTTTTTTTGGTATGGGGATTGAACCCAGGGGTGTTTAACCACCAAGCCACATCCCCAGCCCTTTTTACTTTTTTATTTTGAGGTAGGGTCTTACAGAGTTGCTTAGGGCCTCACTAAATTGCTGAGGTTGGCTTTGAACTCATGATCCTTCCTGCCTCAGCCTCCTGAGCTACTGGGATTACAGGCATGTGCCATTGTGCCCTGCTAATATATTTTTTTAAAAAAATAAAATCACATGATAAGAAGTATGGAAAATAAAGGGTAAAAAAGGGATCATCAATCCACCACTCAAATGTAAGCTATTATGATTTTATTGATATTCACTAATATTTGGTACATTTTTGGTACCATACTATTAATTCAAAATTGAACTCTGATTTTTTTTTACCAAAACTTTCTCTTTTATAAATTTTTAAGTTTTGTAATAAAGCCCTCCAAATCAGTATTTTCTGACTGAAAAATATTATGTGAGTAATAGTCAATTACGTTTAAGCAAACATGACCATTTATTTACTTAACTGCACCTCTATTACCAAGCATAGTTTCATTCCAGGTTCTCAGTTTTATAACTAAATTTCATTCATTTTATAAGCATTTACTAAGTGGCTGGTATGGACCAAGCAACAGGTGCTGACTAATCTTTGGTGAACTAAGTAGGAAATGGCCCTGCAGTTCATAGTCAACATTTAAGTATAAGACTTTTTAACTTTTGTAAATATAGAAGACTAGATAATAATCTTAAAGCCCTTTCACCACAAAATACTCAGAGATATTGAATATACGAAGTATCCTTTAAATGTACAGCAAAACTTCAAAGAATTTGTAAATAATATAATAAAACTTATACTAGTTATAGCCAGGGTTTGTCTGTCTCAATAGCCTACAGTCTGGTGTTTTAATTCAGAAACAGAACATGAGGGCACAGAGATGTCTGCAACACAAAGAATAAACTAAGAAATCTCACATAAAGCCACTGAGGATTAAACCATTAGTGGGAAAGTCAGACCTGAGACCTTGCCAATTGTTGCTAGGCACTGGGAAATAATAACAAGGAATTTCCCCTGGGGATCCTTTTTTTTTTTTAATTGGTTCTTTTTAGTTATACATAATAGAATAATTCATTTTGATATAATTGTACAAATATGGAATATAAGCTATTCTAGCTAGAACCCCATCCTTCTTAAACCCAAGATAAGATCTCAAAATAGAAGTTGTTTCTAGGTTGGTCATATAAACCTGAGACACTCAGCAAAACCTCTCTGAGACACGCACAGAATTTAAAGCCCAGAAAAAGTCCTACTAAAAATGGATACAAAATTCAAAATTACCAATTCTTACTGTATTAATAAACCATACAACCTATTGGTGAATGAAAGTAACCAAATTATATTGTGTGTATGCATAAGGATGTAAAAATGAATCCCATAAGTATAATTGTGATGCACTAATAAAAAACATATTTTTTWAAAAAAAATACAACCTTAGTAAGAGTCCAAAAACACAAACTAAATTAGATCCCCAAGAACTACAGAATATAGCACTACCAAATAGAAACTTAAAAGCAGACATGTTTAAATACAAAGACATAAAAATAGAATAAAAAGAAAAAACAGATTTGAAAAATAACCAGAAAGCTTCATGAAATTATACTAATATCATTACAATTTTAAAAATAATACAACTCAATGAACACGTTAAAGACAGACAAAGCTGAAAAGACAATTAAGGACCTGGGAAATCTTTCCATCTCATAACCGTTTGGATTTTTTTTTTTTTTAACCCGTGCTCTAAAATGAGTAATTTCCTCTAATCTGGTTTTTTCCCCTCTCTGGGAGCTACATGCCCAGCTTCTGGACTTCTCTGTATTTTTGTAACTTTCTTTAAACTATGAAATTATTTTAAAGCACTAAAACAAACTAACAAATTCCCAGACCCAGGCCACACAAATAAACCAATTAAATACAAATCTTTGGCAGTGGGAATCAAAAAAAAAAAAAGTGTTTTGTTTTTTTTTTTTGTCTAAGTTCCTCATCTGATTCCACTCTGCAGTCCGAGTTGCTAAGAAAAGCCTCCTGGTACTGCTTTACCTATAGGAACAAAAGGTGAGAAACTGACAAAGGAGGTATATGTGAGACAAAAGATGACAGAAGTTTTGACAGTGTCAGGGCCTCTTCATCCACCATACACAGATAAAACATCCCAGTATACATTATGGCCATTTTAAGCTGTTATACTACATTACAACCAAATATTCCCCCAAATAACCATAAGATCTCTGTCAAACACTGGGAACCACCTAATAAGAAAGAAGAAAATGGAAAACTACATGCATAATCATAAATTATCAAATCCAGATCAATAAATCACTAATCATAAACCAGGCATTCAAGAAAAACAAACCTTAAAAATTATGCTGATAGTTTGTATTGCAGAATCTTGCAATGTCATAAAACAGATTTTTAAGAATTGTCCAGAATATATTTAGAAATGGCTTTTACCAAAGCCTAAAGGGACTCTAGTGTAAATTACTGAATATGCAGTTTTAAGCCCTATTTGGGGCTTAAAAACCAACTCTTGCCTGTAATCTCAGTGGCACAGGAGGCTGAAACAAGGAATCACAAGTTCAAAGCCAGCCTTACCAAGTTAGCAAGGCCCTAAGCAATTTAGAAACACCGTGTCTCAAGGGGCTGGGGTTGTGGCTCAGTGGTAGAGCGTTCACCTAGTATGTGCAAGGCACTGGGTTCGATCCTCAGCATCACATAAAAATAAATAAATAAAATAAAGGTATTGTGTCTACAACTAAAAAAAAAAAACACCCTGTCTCAAAATAAAAAAGGGGTGGGACATAGGATGTGCCTCAGTGGTTAAGTSTCCCTGGTTTCAATCCCTGGTACATAAAAAACAAAAAAACAATTCCTATGTGCAGTCTAGGTAGCTGATATCCAAAACCAGGTTCTTTAGATCTCAGAGATATGTGCACACCCATGTTTACTGCAGCACTATACAAAATAGCCAAGAGGTGGAAACAAGCCAACAATGGGTGAATGCATAAAGAGAATGCGGTATACACGGTAGACAATTATTCAGCCTTTACAAGAAAGGAAATTCTGTGTTATGGTGTCTAACATGGATGAACTCTGAAGTTATTATGCTAAATGAAATAAGCCAGTCACAGAAATGGAAATAATGCATGATTCTACTTATATGAGGTACCTAAAATAGTCAAACTCTTAAGAACAGAAAGTAGAATGGCAGATTTCCAGGGGGAAGGGGAAATGGGGAATTGGTTAATGGAAAAAGAATTTCAGTTTTCAACATAAAAAAGTTATATTTTATTGTAAAACAACATGCTTACAGTTAGTATTATTGTATTATATGCTTAAGATAACTAAGATGCTAAGGTTTTATGTGGTTTTGGCAATACAAGCAAACAAATAAGAAAATCAGAATTCTGCCATAGATGTTCATTTTATTCCTCATTCCCCAAAATCAAACTGAACCAGTCATAGTCACTGGACATAGAGACTAATTTTCTTCTTATAGATCTCTCTATCATTTGTTCAACTATATGGGAAATTCTAGTATCTTGAACCTAAGAATGTTAGATGCAAAGGTGCAGATAAGACATTTTAAAAACTATCTCTGGGAGGAATTCTRAAAAACACTCCAGCTTTTAAGAATTGGCTTATCTGTAACAACATAACTACTTAGAAAGCAGGGCTCAYTGGAACAGAATAGAAACACTGAAAATGAGTCTTGCTTTGAAACACTAGAGTTCGTTCTTCACCAGCAGAGAAAATCAAACAAGTTACTCAACAGTTAATATACTCCAGTAACCAAAATCTGAACTGTATTATTTAATTAAGACCTATTAATTAAATTTATGTGTATAAGAAATCATGTAAAGGGAGGACTGCCTATATGTAACATGCACACATAGGCAAAATTAATCAATGGTAATACGTGCAAAGTGATAGGGAGAAGGGAAACTGAATGGAAAAGGAAGTAGGGAATTATCTGGAGGGAAGGAAATGTTCTCTTTTCTATCTTTCATATATTTTTTAAAGTTGTGGCTACACAGGCATAATATATGTGTCTAAACTCATGAAATTGACTTTTTATTTTACCTTAATTATCTAAATCTAAAAATATATAATAGTGTCCCCCAAAAAAAACGGTAAAAGTGGGGCAAAATTTTAAAAGAAATTCTGAAGATTATTCTTCTGTCAGAAAAAAAAATTGATAAAAGGAACGAAGGGCAATGAAAAGAAAAAATGGGCAGATATATAGGCCAATCTACACAAGACCCAACTAAGCAAACAACTAGTGTGTCTTATTAAGTGTGTGTGTGTGTGTGTGTGTGTGTGTGTGTATTTACACTCATATACTATTAAAATATAGAACCACAATGGCACATAAGTTGAGAAGGAGCTTCTAAATGGAGATCCTGTTCTAAGGTCCTTGTGATTTCTCAGATAAACATTAAAAGAATAAAGAATCCAAAATCAATCCAAAAGAAGGCAGGAAATGAGAAAAAAATGATCATATGTAGAACAATAAAAAGGCCAATGACATGCTAGCTTTAAACTAAAAGGTATAAATTATAAATGATCCAGTTGCAATATAAAGATAGATTTAAAGACTTAATCATGTTTATGAAAGATAGCTAAAACAAAGATGTGGAAAGGTTAATAGTAAAAGAATAGTAAACATTTTTCATGAAAATGAATACCAAAAAAAATCTGGCATAGCTACWTAAATATCAGACAAGAGGTAAGAAACATGATTAGAGATAAAGATCACTTAGTAATATAAAATTTCTAAGTTTATATGTTCCTAAGGACATACCTCAWATATATAAGGAAAAAACTGACAGCTCTACAAGGGAAGCATATTCACAATCAGAA